AAATTAAAAAAAAAAAACAAAAAACTAGTCCTGTAGTCTCTCCATTCAGCTAAGGTTGAAGCATACTCACCATAAGTTGGGGTGACTGTGTCATAATAAATCACCTCATAATAATCCTCATGTACCAGTATTTCATCCTTATATTCTTGACCTATGGGGACAGGGTTGTAGGTCAGGAGGCATCTGGACCATTGTGGAATAGAACTTCGGTCCAGCTCTGCTGGTTTTCCTTCTGTCTGTGTCCCTTCCAAGTGCCTTTCTATCCCCCTCTTCTGTTCTTTAGTCCTCAGTGCCCCCTTTTTTTTTTTTTTTTTTCCCCCAGAACCGGGGATTGAACTCAGGCCCTTGCACTTGCCAGGGAAGCACTTATTCCACTGAGCCATCTCCCCAGCCCCTGGACCTCTTGTTTGTAATGAGGCCTACTCTGTGTTTGGCCTCCCTTCCTTTCTTGGTAGGTACTGAGGATGGGACGCACAGGCTTCACACTGAGCTACATCCCCAGACCTCTTTTATTTTGAGACGGGATCTGGCTGGTTGCTCAATTTCCCAGGCTGGGCTTTAACTTGAAATCTTCTTGCCTCAATCTCCCAGAGTGCTGAGATCACTGGCCTGTGACACCAGGAAGGGCTACTCTGTGCTTGTTCACTCTAGGAACTCCTAGGGGAAAAAGCACATACTATAGAGCCAAAGAGAGAATTAAACCTAGAAAAGATACAGGGCAAGGGAGATGACTCAGTGGAATAAGTGCTTCCTTGGCAAGTGCAAGCGCCTGAGTTCAATCCCCAGTTCTGCAAAAAAAAAAAAAAAAAAAAAATCCTCCAGTGGTTTTTTTTTTTTTTGCGGAACCGGGGATTGAACTCAAGCCCTTACGGTTGCCAGGCAAGTGCTTATTCTACTGAGCCATCTCCCCGGCCCCTCCTCCAGTGTTTTGCATACAGGGTTAGTGTCAGCTTTTAGTGAGAGATATCGATGGCTGACTTGAGATGAACGCCTAGACTGCAGCTCTGGTTATTTGCCCCCAGCCAACCCAGCATTCTAGCCCTCCATTTCCCTGAGATCTGTCTGGGTTGAGGATGTCTTGTCCCCACTTGCCTAGTCCCCATTCAACTCACTGTCTCCATTGTTAATGGTTTCGTGGTTACAGGATTCTCCTTGTCCTCAGGTTGAGTTTGAAGACTAATGGTGGTCTCTATTGCTTCTGTAGTCACCTCTTTGTTCAGAGTGCTCTGCTGTCAGCAGGATTGGGAAACACAGAGTTACCGTCTTCTCCTTTCAACATCCTCCTAGCTCTCGGTTCCAAGTTCTCACCCCCTTTACCAGCTTCTCACCCCTCCACCACCCTCATCCCTGTCTGGGAATCACTTCCTAGTTTCTCTCTACCCACCTAATTTTCATTCTTGCTAATCAGTTACATTTCAACATTGCCCAGTTTCTTTTTAACTATTATTTACCTTGACCAGATTAGATGTACAGGTCACTTACCAACCTGTCCTCTGCCTCAAACATGGAGTAATCAATGGTGAAATTTGCAATAAAGTCATCTGGGAAGGGAAAAAAAAATAGTAACAGCTGGGCTTGGTGGCACACACCTGTGATCCCAGCACTCGGGAGGCTGAGGCAGGAGGATCACTGTGAGTTTGAGGCCAGCCTGGGCTACATAGTAAGCTCAAGTCCAGTCTGAACTACGCAGGCAGAAAGATCTCAAAAACAGAAACAATAAGTAAATAGTATGAAGGAAAAAGGGAACTCTAGATCCAGAAATGAAACAGAAATGAGTTGTTCAGAATATTTCAATTTCATCAAATTGTAAAATTTATGGATATAATCCACTTCTAATTTAATGTTAAAGATATTGGAATACATATGCTTATATGTTTATGTTTACATTTTCCATCTGGCTTCTAAATAATTTACCAATATGAAAACTTCAATATTGTTTCAACCATTTTCCCAAGAGTTAAAGATCTGTAGCTTGAGAAATAGCATTAAATCTTGATAGTTTTCATTAATAGACCCAGTTGCTCTGTGTCAAGGGCATTTTCAGAACTAAATAGTTCTGGGGCTGGTAAGATGGCTTAGTGGTCTAAAGCACCTACTTAGTACAAGCTTAGCAAAGCACAGAGACTGCGGTTCAATCCCCAGCACCACATGCCAGCCAGCCCC